CTTTCCTATGAGCTGTGCTAGACACTTTCTTGGTGGTGGTTGACACGGTGTTTTTGCTTTTACAGACCTGGCTGGTGCTGGGGCCTCTTCAGCTGTCACAGTCACTGGCTGCCCCGCTCCAGTGACCTCAGCCCGTTTCCCGACATCTTTTTTTTTAGACAGCCTATGGCGCGATGTCCAGCTTGGCCACAAACAAAGCAGTGAGGTCAGCTCATGTTGCCCTGTTGTACACAGTCCCTGCATCTGCCCCTGGTCTCCGTTGTTGGTGCCTGAGGACGGACTGCTGGTGGGCAGGGGTCCCTTGGTGTCGCACTGTCAGTAGGTTTACCCATCTGGGCCAGATGTTTGGTCAGTGAGGACACTTGTGCCGTCAGTTCTGTAATAGCAGCACGATTAGCCTGTAACTCAATGTCAACTTTAGCTTGCTTAATTGAGTCACTACTATCAGTTTTATTCTGAGCTGCGCATGAGCGGAGCCTGTAGCTACGTTCTCTCTAATGGATCCACAGCAGCACCAAAGCGCCATCTACTGACGTGATTGTGTATTACCTCGATATAAAGTCTGAAGAGTGTTCGAATAGTTCAATTATTAACAAAGAAAGTGTGGGGGGGGGGGGGGGGGGTCTGTTTTAATAAAAAACTAACATGTAGCATTTCCAACCTACTACACTCACGTAGTAAATCTCTATGCAAGTGTGCGCTATATTTAGAATATTTTCACTGCTTTATCTTACGGTAAAGTAATTTATGTCAAACTACGCTCTCTTCAAAGTCACACGACTCTACCGCTGCCTCCATCTGTTAGTTTGTTTGTGTCATTGTGTGACTTTGGTGAATCCGAACCCTTCAAAATACCAAAGTCACACAATAACACAAACAAACTAACCGATCGAGGCAGCGGTAGACCTGCAACTTCTGTGTCCTGGGAGGGAAAATTATGTTTTTATCAATGGAGTCTCGTGGCTTTAAAGAGAGCACAGATGGATTTATCGGCTTCAGTTCCCTTTATGAAAGGACGGTAAGGTAAAGCAGTGAAAATATAGCACGCTGAGGGCGTGCCGACCACCATCTAATGTAGGTTATCTAAGGAGAACCCCAGTTCAAAACATCCAAACTATACTTTTAGGATCGCAAAAGTGATGAAAGGAGAGTTCCAAAAGTTATTTTATGTTCTTTTTCTTCATAATGATGTAATAGTACTGATGCCTCACACATTATCTTCTTGCAGATCAAACTAAACAGCAAAGGACTGATCTTCTCCGTGTGGCTCCTGCTGGCGTCCGTGTTCCTGACCGTGAGTATATGACGCCATGTCTGAGGCTATACATGTCTGAGGCTATACATTTCGTCTGAGGACATACATGTCGTCTGAGGACATACATGTCTGACACCATGTCTGAGGCCATACATGTCTGAGGCCATACATGTCTGAGGACATACATGTCTGAGGCCATACATGTCTGAGGCCATACATGTTGTCCGAGGACATACATGTCGTCTGAGGACATTTCTCATTACAAGATCTTGACGGATGTCTGACTTCTCTCTCCATGCGTTTGTCTTGATCTGCCTACTGATCTGTTTACCTGCCTGCTTCTTTACCCACCTGCCTCATCCCCTGTCTGTCTCTCTCTCTGTCTCTCTGTCCGTTCAGGTCCTGGGAGTTCACCTAAACAAGTGGACGTTGGACAAGCGCCTGGGTATCATCTGTCTCCTCCTCTACTCCATCTTCCTGTGTTTCTCCTGCCTCATCGAGTACAACATCTTCACCTTTGTCAACCTGCCAACCTGCCAGGATGACTGAGGCACACGAGCACACGCACACACACACTGATATACATATGTTGCACACTCTACACTAGAATTGGAGTTCCAAGTGAAGTTTTAAACACAGACGTGGCGGTGTCCGACGATAGAATCAGAACCACAAAGTATATTTCTAAATCTAATCAAAAACCAATTGACACTGATTCACTCTGTTCCCTGCTGTTCTCCTCTTGTACGAGAAGACATCCCACTCTGCTCTTTTTTCTGATGCATGTCTTTCTGCTCTGTGCAATATGGAGCAGTGTGGGCGGAGCAGAGATGGTAAATGACTATACACAAGCCCTCATACAGGACAGGACGGCGGACAACAGCCACGACAACAACAACAAAAAAACAATTTGTCCGACTACTGCTCGCTTCTTGCGTGAGAACCTCTATTTTGAAAACCGCCCCGTATTTAAATTAGTAATGTTTACTAGCTGCTAACCTTTCCTGGGACGAGAGTCGGGTCTTTGAGATTCGACGAGTTGAGTAATATACAAAAGTTTAATTCTAAAAGCAATGATGTAAATGGGTGGTTGGGGGGGTGGTCGTAGGTTAGCGCTGTGGTGCAGACGGTATTTAAACAGTGTTTTTGCAATTTACAGTTTGTGGTCAAAATTAGGTTTGTTGAGTGCGTTTGTTTCGAACATTTAAGAGATACAGCTACACATCTTGGGAGGATAAAAAAAATCCTGAACCCCCCCACCTGCGCACAGAACTAGGGCATTACCCACTCACCTTTTTATGTATTAACTTCAATAGCATCACAGCTGTAGATTCTATGTTTCGTACTGGAAATGAATTGGCTTTATGAGATGAGAGGGTTTTTTCTGTAAATAGCACACCTCTGTAAATACCCCCAGATGTCATATTTATTATTTATTCATGTCATACGCACATTTCTCCTCCGGAGATCCCAAAACCCCCGGCAGGTTTTATTTGTGGACCCGGGGTTTGCTGAGATCCACACCTAAGATCTTTACGGACGACCACTCGTGTACACACAAGCACAATTTCCTCCGAAGGTATTTGTCTCATTGATTTCACGAATGACTTGATTTAGTTAGATGTGTATGTGTGGATGTCAGAAAAACAGAATTCAAACTTGCACTGAAGAGCTTAAACTAGCTTCACAGAGAGACTGTACCTTAATGCATGCTGATTATGAGGATAGCATCCTTGTAAAATGAAGCAAGTTTGTATGAAATTATTGGGTCGAGGTTTTAGGGAAGCAAGTGTTGTGTTTTGGGGGATTGGTTTGTGAAGAGGTGTCATAGTCTGCGCTGCCAGGGACAGAAAATAATGAACTGCTGCTTTTTCCTCTTCTGTAAAACATCGACCAAATAGACTCAAAAACGGTGGCGGCATTATATAGAAATGACAGATAAGCAAGTTAGACAAAAGAGGGAGTAAGGTATTAAAGTGGTGGTGCGATCATACGACTAAAGATGCAGAATAAAAGCATCGGGACTTTGATCCCAGCTCTAATCTTCAGGTTGGGGGTTTTAACTTTATTTTTTATCCAGTTCTTTGTATTTTGTAATGCCTAATGTCTATAATTGTCCAGATATGGTAGGTTTGTGGTAAAAGAATTGAGATATAAATATTCCTATAGTTTTTAGAGCATGTACAATGTGGTTTGTGAAAACCCAGACGCGGGATTTTTTATTCCACTACGGTTGGTCGAGTCACGCTATTCCTCAAAGACGTCTGAACACGTCCTCTTTCACAGTATCCATCAAATCGTCAGCTTTTTCCTCCAGATAAGTTCATTTGAAATGTCAAGTGCTCTGCTCTTTCTTTCTTTTCTTTGGATAGAAGACAAATACTAAAACACGACTGAGTCTGATTTGTTTCAGGGATATTTTTTATTTATTGATCAGTAATACAAAATATAGAATCTTTGAAAAACTGTCTTTCGAATGTAAAAATAATTAATGTTGTTTTTTTGTTGATATATATATACAGTATATATACTATACATATTTATTTATTTCAGAGAACCAGGCAGAGTACTTTGTGCTATGACCGGAAAACAGGGTTTAAATGTGTTTTGAATCTTGTTTAATGCAATAACTATGAGCATATACAAATATGTAAATATGCCGCTTTAATGATCAAAGACACATAACAGAGTTTAACATAACGTACTCCAGTTGTTAATGATGTCCGTCACACTGTAACAGCATTCTTTATGAAATGATTTATCAATAACTATAGAAACAATCAAAGCAGGACTGTTAACATACAGAGTCAGCTCTAATGAATGCTTTACATCATTATCACATTCTGGCTATAATGTCTGCCTGAAGGGAGCCACTGATGTTTACAATCTGAGGCAATCATTTCCTTTATCATAAGCATGTCATTTAAGGGTAGAGATGTTACTATAGGTCCCATCATTTCCTAATCATTGTATCTTAAAGAACTACGTAATGAGGTGCTAGTTATGGGGAACGTTTTCTTAAGCAGGTGCTGAGTTATATGGAAGCCCATCTCCACACAAATAAAAGTAATCATTAGTCAACATCTTTACTTTGTAAGTCTAATTAAAATACTAAGTCAAAATTATTATTATTTTATTGACAATATCATAGTTGTGACTTTGAATTTACTAACCCAATTTTCACTTACGTTCTTAATATGTCATGCTCTTAGCCTTACTATCTCACACATCTTAAAAGTCAAATCTAACTTGAACTTTAACTGACTGATTTTGTGGACCCATATCATATTTTTTTTTTGTACTGTTAAAAATGTACCCATATACTCAGAATATTCCTCTGGGTCTATGTATGAAAACGTTCCCCTTTTTAAGCTAGAGTAGCAATTATTAATTGGATGTGTACCAACTCAGCACCGTCTTTGTTTTAATTAGAATTGTTTAAATTACATAGTTTCCTGAGACGTTCTTAAGAATTTACACTTGCATATTTTCTTTCTAGGAAATTGAAGGGAAGTCAAGGGACCAAAGAAATAAAATGCATCTCTCTCAAATCCCAAAATGCTTCTGAGCGTTGGTACATTGAAAATCAACATGGATCAAAGTTAAGTTTCAAAACATCAACATTTGGTGATTTTGATTAAATTCAGAGGCGGATATTCAAGCACATGTATTGTAACATTCCTGACTCCAACCAGTATCTATCACTAGCCACAACCTCGCTACTGCTCCGTGTTGGTTGGTAAGGTACAGACATTTACTTTATATCATGCTGGCTGTTGAAGAAAAAACACTGGTTACAAGGCATCAATCATCCTTTCATGTTTTGCAGTATTACCATTATCTTTATAACCCACGGCGTTTTTTCAGTTTGTCGTTCATATATATATATACGTAATATCTGTATCATGCACTTTACCATATAATAATTTATGCTACAGATGATTTGGTTCATTACATTCTGTGCTGCTATTCACTGCATGGACCTAACACCCGAACATAGGGCATCATGTCTTTGAAACTAACCAAACTACCACAAAAGGCACTCACATTTTGAAAAGAGGCGTCTTGTAGACGAGATTTCTAAATAATTTGTGATATTCACATGGGTGATATTGCTGATGTACATATGTATATAGATAGGTGTAAATGTATTTATATATTTTTTGTCTCGATCTGTATATCTGTTGAATATATTTTCATAGATCCTAGGTCTCCCTTGTACCCCCCTTTGATGTGTTTGAGACCTCTTAAGCTATTGTTCTTTGTTTACTCGCATGGAGATATTTCAATATAATAAATTATTTATGGTAAATCTTTATGTACTTTGGGATGAGAGTCCAATGAGTTTTAGATGGCACTGGATTTAGTTGGAACTGGATATTATAGATGACTGCATGCTGTTAGGGTTAGGGTTAACCCTAACACTAACCCTAACCCTAGCGTAGGATATACGAGATGGAGAGTGAGGGTTTGCAGACGATACGTTTCTCTACGTATCCAAGCTTTACCTCTTCATACACAAGAAACTTTTCAACAGAATGGTTTACTTTGTGTTTAGATGTTTCAAATGTCATTTTAGAGATCATTTTGCTACCTGAGCATTAATAAAGTCTTTGCTAAAGGTAACACAAGCCTTGTCTTGTAGTAAGTTTTTGTTGGACCTACTAACTCACACATGCACATCGTGTATCGTTCAACAATAAATATGGAACTAGTCAGATGAATGTATACTTTTAAGGGAGGGTTGAAGAAGTACTATGATCATTTTCTTAAGCAAATGCAGTAATACGAGTAGGTAAACATCCTGCCTTCAAAGTGATTGTGTATTTTAAGTAAAAGTACAGAAGTATTACAACAACCTATATCTAAAGTATCAAAAGTACTCATGATGCAGAATGGCACATTTCAGCTTGTTTAATTGTAATATACATCCTGTTGGTTTGAGCTTTTCCCGGGAACGACAAAATAAAGAAGCAGCGATGAAGCTGCTGTAACATAATAAAACGTTGTTCTCACAGCTGTTTGTTGACCTGTTGTGACAGTCAATAACAAGACAACATAGGAAAGAATATATGGTGACACATTACATCAGACTGATGATATTTGAATGATAAAAGAGAGAACAGTGTTGGGAACGAAAAGGAGCGTGTTTGAGTTATCAGCATATATTATTGACATCAATAGAATTATTAATGTCAGTAGGATTATTAATGATAACGGGGCACCACCCTGCGAACAGCCAAACTCTCTAAGTAATAATAATAGTAACTAAGTAATTAGTATTCACTCACAATGTCAATAGTCAAAGTACTATTACACATTCAGTGTGAACAGTGAAGGTTTGATATCCAGCTATAATCACAACACACATGCACAAAGTAATCACAGCTCTCTAAAGTATAACAGAGTTTATTAAGTTCCAATAATAATGATCTAGTCAACTAATATCTAAACTAACAACAACTACTATATATTTATGAGCACGCTATCTAAAATCAACAAACTGTGGTAAGAGGGAGAGTGTGTGTGGGGGGGGGGCATGAGAACAGCTCAGACAATGTATGATGTAATCTAAAATGTGGCTACGTCACGTGGGACTACACGTTGAAGATAGATAGAACTATCACAATGGAGTTTGCACGTGACCAACTCGCGAGACTACAAAATGGCGTTAGATTGCGTTATCTACACCTGTCTGAAGCAGTTAGCTCCACCCGCTCAACGCTATATGTGTGTGTGTGTGTTAGTAAAAGAAGAGAGAAAGCAAAGAAAACTAATTAAATCCATAGCATCTTAGCATCTACTTGTGACCTGGCGTCAAGGGGAGATAGTAAATCTGTTGTGTACGTCAGTATTTACGTATTCTTCTGATTTTAGACCATGACGTCCTCTCATATTAGGATAAGATAACTTTGACAGAACAGGCGTCAAAAGGACGGGTTCGAACGAGGTCACAGACTTTATGTAAATCATTCTGTTCCAACGCCTTTGTATGTGTTATCTGCAGTATATATATCAGAGACCCAGAGACAGACCTCTGAGCAGGAACTTGATGCATAACCTGTTTGTGTTTCAATGCTGTTTATTCTTGCAAGAATAAATGTCCTGTTTAATGATTTTACACCCGGTGTCGAGTAACATTTTTCTAACAGTGGCGCTATGACGATGTGAAAATTTAAGGATGGAAATGTGCTCAGGCCTGGACCAATATCATGCATAAGACGTTTTGGGCAGATTGGACAATGTACCTTGGAGCTATAACCACTTCCTGTTTTATGGAGAACTGCACGAAATGAGCACCACGTCAAGGTCTTTCCATGAAAACCCATGATTTTGATGATGTTTCATCATAAAGTTCTTTAGATCGTGCTGAGCCAATTTGAGGTCGATCACATGAATTCAGTAGGAACGGTTCGTTAAAATACAAAGCCTGAAATAGTAAATCAAACAAAGTCATATGGAATGTCGAAAAATTAATTAAATTAATAAGTCATAGTATATATAGTGAGTTGAAAAAAAACAAAGTAATTGTACACAATGTCAAAAAAGTCATAGTATATATAGTGAGTTGAAAAAAACAAAGTAATTGTACACAATGTCAAAAAAGTCATAGTATAGTTTGTCGAGCAAAAGTCGGAACAAAAGTCATAGTATAGTATGTCCAGTGGTGGGCCGTCAGGGCCTGCAAAGCCTTCTCTGCTGGCCTAAACAGAATCACAAAGCTATATATATTTTATAATTTAATAATTTTTCTTAAATACACAACATGTATTATAATTTATAATATTTTCCCATTATCATATGTTCTCATTGCACAGCTACTGTCTTCCTCAGTTGCTCTGCTTCCAGTGCCGCTTGTTTTAAGTAGAGCTTTTATCCAATCAGATCTCACCTCTGTGTCTCTAGGTAAGAACAGAGGCAGAGGCCTGCAGACTCACAAGTGAATCCATGTGCAGTTTAAGTGAATGGGGACGATATTGTTGATTGTCATAGTGTTCAACCAATCGGATCTTTAGTTTGACATGTTGGGCGTATTCTTTGACGTGTCAGAGCCTGCTAGCTGGCCTACAAGTACGTGATTGGTCAGTGGGCTAGCGTGACATGTTGGGCGGTGACAATCCCAATATCTGCTGCCTCTGTGGAGCAGACATTTTCAGCCTCAAACGCATTAAAAACTATTCAAGAAATACAACTGGGGAGGCTCCACTGTCTTCACTGGCGTCCATGAATGGAGAAGGACTTCTTACTGGAACTAAAACACACGGATGTACTGAACAACCGTGAGATTAAACTCTTTGTTAACAAAGAAAGGAGAACTTTGTCTTTAAATAGTGAACAGCAGCTCTGGTAAGTTAAATGCGTTTGTTTTTAAATCTGCAATAGCTTTACGATGCTTGTTTATATATTATTATTAGTACAACTTGTTGTTATGAAGATGGATTTTTGTTTGGTTATGTTAACTTTAACGTTGAGTTAAAGTGTTAAAGTTAAGTTAAAGAGTTTAAGTTAAAGTGTTTAAGTGATCATCTTTGAGGATTCATGGGTTTTCAAGTGGACTCATTTTCCCTCTCTGTGTTGACAGACGAATAAATCCATCAGTAATAAGAATTAAGGTGTCGTGTATTTCCTGGAGGGAGTGATCGTAGTCTTACTACTGTGTTCATTTGTCTATTTAATATTGTTCCCTCTGATGTGAATATTTGAATGGCCCGTGCTCTTCAGTGCGTGGATGTGATAGCTCCGCAGGTTTTTCAATGCATTGTCCGTTCATTACGCACCTCGTATTCATGTATCTGTACTCTGCAGTCAGTGTATCTATAGGTGTTGAGCTTCATTTTTACACCAAACAAATAATAACTGTAGCTGTGGTGAGGAGGTTCAACTGGAGTAGGACAGCACTGAAGGCCCAGGTATAAAATGCACGGCCCACCACTGAGTATGTTGAACAAAAAGTCCAGACACTGCAACAAAACGGAGACAAACGAGCTGGAACAACTGCAACAGAAAAGTACATGCACAACAACCGGGACACCTGTATGGAAGGTGGAGGGTCATCACAGTATGTTGGAACATGCTCATAAGTAGTCATAGTGTAGCATGTCGAAGAAAATTCATTGTATAGTTGTTTTTTTTAAACCATGAAAAAGTCAGTTTGCTTTGATTTTAAGAGAACAAACTTAATTTAATTCACTAAATCATAAAACATAGTCACCTGAAGTACTGGACACGTATAACATGACTGTAATGAAGTGAACATAGCAGTCGTCCTCATGAGAAGTCCAGCTCCATCAGAACTGTCAAAAAAATTTTTTACAGTTTCATTTTGTATAATGTAGATGCTCCCAATGCATTTAGTATTGTAGCTGAAATACACGTTCTTGTATGTTAAATAGTGTAAAATCACAAAGGTTTGATGCCTGTTTGGTGAGGTAGGACTCAGCATCTGATTTACAGCTGAGATGAAACACTTCAGTGTGGAATGTGAGGTGTGATCACCATCTAGTGGTGAAGGACTGGAACAGCTTAGATCAAATACAAACACGTCAGGCATGCAGTTTCATTTGTTTTCAACATTTATTAAGTGCAAAAGAATATTTCTGATATCATTCAATGACAAATGGTAAACAGGAATTTGTCTCTGGATGCAAATAACATTGACACCATAAAGAATATTATAGAATAGACTGTGAAAAATCCCGCACAGACATAAATACACACTTTGCTTGATCGAAGACAGATCAGCGATAACGCGGCAGAACGAGTCCATTCAGACTTGAAGCTCAGATGTACACGGTGAGCTGAGATACACCACATTCATGCTACTGGAGAGCATTCACCTCTCATGACACTGTGGACAGGAAGTGTTACGGTTCAACACAAACAGTAAAGAAACTGCATTTACATTTCCCAACAACTGCAACCTTTATATTGACAAGAAAACTTCAAGTTTTTTTGTTTTTTTGACCAGTAGGCCTACCAAATACTGATGTAGTAGCATTGTGTTTCCTCACAGACCTTTGTCTTTACAAATATCTACATAGCCATACAGCGCTGTGTGTGTGAGACCTCAGACCAGCTTTAAAGTCCACGGATCCATTTCATGACTTTGTCACCAGGATAAGAAGCAGAACTTCTGTCAGCAGTACAGAGACTCAGAGACAGAAGAGTGACGTGGTCGATCGGACCTTTAACACCATGCATCAGGTATGATACAGTGTCTTTCATATCACCAGGATAATCAGCAAATACATAATGAATGTTACATCGTGAAAACTGTTTCTAACATTACACTTAAAAACACAAAGTACATGCAAGAACAATATGTTAACACATTAATCCTTAAGAATGCCATGTTATAGATATTATATCTTTTCACTGTTGGGATCATAGGAAACGCTGCACGTCAGAAGCAGAATGGAGAAGCCAGAGGACACAGCATAGTATTGAGAAGTGAAAACTGTTGTTCAAAGAAACAGGCTAAATGGTGTCTCTCTTTTGTCCTTGGCACCATAGCGTAGCATTTGCATTGTGGGTAATGTAGGCACTCGCTTTTAATAAAGATGTGTAGAATCAAACACACAATGTCTCTGGTTCTGCGTCCATGTTGATCTGTTTCTTGTTAAGTCTCTTGAGTGAAACAATGAAGTGCAGGTTACTCTTTTAATGGCTACCGGTTTGTTATTGTTGCCTCCTAACACTGGCCCTACATAGAAAATATTAGATATAAATATTCTTAAAAACACACAATATGTGTGTTGGCACCACCAACAGCCAGTTACTTGTAAGTAAACAATGATTCATATTTAAAAAGGTCCAATGTGTAGAAGACATTAGCTTCACATTGTAACCAGGCTGTCCTGGACTATGACATGAAGGAGCAGAGGTAACCCTGGGCTTGTCCGGTGGAGGTACAGCCTGCATACCTTCTCACACTCTTTGTTGAACTGTATCCAAATTGGCAGAATGGAGAAAACCACTCGCGCCTTGACATCTGTATGCTTCACCAGGAGGTGGAGCATACAGACCTTCCGTTAGCAAACCCAAACCCTGTGTGTCTGATCCCAGAACCCTCTGAGGAGCCCTCATCATAGCACATTGTAGCACTTTCAAAGAAATATGGATAAAAACATCTGCCAATCAAACTCTTGCCGAAGCCAGTCGGGACATGAGTGAAAACATGTTTGCTCTTCTTTCAATGAAGAAACAATCTGCAGTTCTGAAATTACTGATGCTATCGTAGCATCAAAGCTAACTTCTTTAGGAGCCACCATTATTGTTTTGAAATGTGTGTCTCTCACACTGGATCTTTCTTTGATCCAGAGAATCCACCGTGTTACCACAGTAGTAATGTATTTACAACTGAAGACTGTACATTTAGATTGCATGGACCCAGTATGTCAATGGAGCATGTGGCCGATGGTACATACGGTACCTTTAACATTCATCAGTGAACCAGTAGCCCCAGCATAGATGTGATACAACTGGAAAATACTAATGGGAGTCAATACAGAAGAGGATTTTTACTCTTGCTACATATAGAGATGATATAGATACAACTATATAAATACACATATACACATATATATGTATACACATATATATGTATGTGTGTGTGTGTATATATATATACATACACATATATACAGTATATGTGTTTTCTTTCGGATGAATTGCTTCCCACTTGAGGCCATAAATGTTCTTTTTAAGAAGGAGCTCCTGCAATGTGCACCAGCCACCACAGGGTGTCACCAGAATCCCTCGAAACACTTCAACAATCTAAAGGATGAAGAGTTTCAAAACACAAACAACACAATAACACAGTTTACCAGCAACCGTTATAAGTGAATCATAGGTACACCTGTCACCTAAATAAGCGATTTGTTAGATATTTTAAATGATTGATCAAAGATTACTCACATGTATTTCCCTCTATGTACCCTGAAGGTAACAACAAGAACAGCTGACCCTGAATCTGTACCAGAAGCACCAGCATTATGGCAGGACTATGAACACATGTTCATTAGTACCCCTCACCTTATCTCCAGAACCTCTACCGTGACTACGTGTTCAGCAAAGTGTTGCTCTGTTGCCAAAATAGATCCAGAAAGTCAAAAAAAGAAAGGCCATCTCTCTCATTTCCTTCCCTCCTTTCTTCTTTTCCTCTTTCACCCGTGTCTGTCTGACAGAACTTTCCAGCGAGAGGATGTTGATCGAGACGGACATGTCATCCAAAAGGAGAAGTCAGGCTTTGTAAAGACTGGCACGGCACAATGTTGAACCCTTTCAACATGCTGGTCTGTTTGGGTCCCATGGAAACATGTTTGTTGGAGATGTTGGGGCGATATGGTCACAGCGGGGAGACAAAGACTCCGTTCAGAACCTACAGTCAGCCCCCCGTTACAGTCATATAGATATAGAGTTGCCGTTGAGGCGGCTGGGCGGCAGGCTGAGGCCCAGACTGGGACTGAGGCCCAGACTGGGACTGAGCTGGGGGGAGGGGGCCGACGGGTCCGTGTCGAGGTCATTCAGGTTGGTCACGGTGAGGTTGTTGAGGTTGGCCGTGAGGTCTAGGGGAGCTGACGAGCGGCGGAAGACGAAGTGGAAGGGAGTGGCCTGCGAGCGGCTGTGGAGCTCCGCCTTGATCTTCTGAGGATGGGTGTCCGGCGCCAGCTGCTGGCTGCTGCCCTCCATCAGCAGGAACAGGCCGTAGTTCTCCGGGTCCGCCACTTTGAACTTCTGGGCGCACAGATGACACACCTCCTCCACGGAGGCGTACGGTCGGACCTGCAGGGTCTTGGCCGTGCAGCCGCTGTCCAGCTCCTGCAGCGCCACCCGCAGGTAGTTCTGAGGGACAGTGAGGAAAAAGCACACATTGCAGCTCTGTGACACACTCAACACGTGGCAGAACCATAGACTGTAGATAAAGATGGACGACATGGGAGCTCCCAACAGTGAAGCCAAAACATCTCCATCGCCCCCTGGTGGCTGGCTGCAGTATAGGTCATAAATCATAAGTCCCGCCCCCTCCATGTTGGCGTCAACGTCAAAATACATTTGGCCAAAGATGGTTTCTCTCATATTTGTAGTTCTCATTACGCTGAGGAAGTTTAAGTGTTCCTTTTTTCTGAGGTATTTGATCAACAACAATACGTCATGACTGACAGCTGCTCTGAGTGAAGCAGTTACTGAGCCGGAGGCTCATGATTTGTACAAAAGAGGAGATGGAACTTTATCTTTCCATAACTGTTACAAGTCTGTGCAGATATTTTCAGAGTCTTCTAGACCAGCGGTCCCCAACCTTCTTAGCAACACGGACCGGTTTCATGTAAGACAATATTTTCACGGACCGGTGTTACGTGCCGTGTTGTGTTTGTGCTCTCCCTCTGTTTTCCCTCAGTGTCTTCTCGAGTGCCACCCTCTGTCCCGGATGCAAGCTGCAGCGACTGATTGGACGCGGCTGTGTTCAATCGCGATTAGCCGGTGTATAAGAGGAGAGGAGCTCCTGAAGGACACTCTCTTGGGCAGACCACAGTAGTGAGGCTGTGCGTGCGAGTCGGTGTGGAGCTGACACCCTTGGGCCGAACCGGCAGCTGAAACGCTGAGAGTGTTTCCGTGGATCACTCCGGGTGCAGCCGTGTGGGATGCTGTCACCATTGCGTTTTTGTGTTCATCATTTTGTGTCGCCCTCTGATTAGCAGAGGGTAGTTTTCTTTTGCTAGCCAGTTATCAAATAAACATTCCTTTGTTTAAACCTCACGGTACTCTCTCTCTCTTTCCCCGGGAAATAAACACTGTTACTCCCCGCATCCCTTAGATGCCAAAACGGGGAACGTAACAGTTGGCTGTGGTCTTCGGCATTCAAGGTTTGGCGGAAAAACATGACGAAATAAAATGATACGATCGGCATGAAAACAAATATAAAATGCATAAATAAATACAACTCACAATAACGCTGAATCAGTGGGAGCCCCGAGCTTGTTTCTCTGCAACAAGACGGTCCCATCTGGGGGTAATGGGAGACAAAGACACCCGAAGTGTGTTCCTGATGTCCAATCTACTCCGTCATTTAGTTTTGATTGCTGTCACTGCAGAACATCCCACTTCACAAAGAGGATGTGTGAAATGGAAGCAGGGTTTCAGTGCTTTAGTGGTGATCTCAGGATATTCAGCCTTGATTTTAATCAAACACCAGCAGAGTTGTTGTCTCAAACATACTTTTAAGGCCACCGTCATTTACAATCTCCAGCAGCTGATCTTCCTCTGTCGCCACATGTTCTGCAGAGCGGGTTTGGTGCGTCAGAATTACTCCTGATATTTAATCAGACTGCTGATGTTGTCTGTTAAATGAGGCTTTATTTTAGTTGTAGCTCTTCTTCTGCCTCCTTAGTGGCCTTTCCTCTTTGCAAAGAAGCTCTCCAAAAGTGTTTTACTCATTGTCGCTAGTTTGTGGGCTTAATGTTTGAGGTAACGTCTCACGTGACCGAGACAAGCGCGAGACGAAATTGGGAGAGAATCCAGTCATTTTTCAAAATAAAACATCTTTCAGACTCTGATAATCAATAAAATGGAAATAATATAAGTTATTTATTCTTTCTGTGCGGCCCAGTACCAAATGATCCACGGCCCGGTGGTTGGGGACCGCTGTCCACTAGGTTCTGCTAAATGGTTGGATTAAATTAAAGAAAATGTTTATTGGTAATTTACAAAGCTATTTTTATCTAAATGTGCTCAAGAATTCAGATAAATAAAAGAAAAACATAATAATTAAAAAAAGCATAATTTGTTTGAATCATGTTACGTCATAGACATACAGATAGCCGACGCGTCTTCACTTACTCCCACTGTACAAACTTTAGGCCCAAATATCCCAGATACAGGAGCATTTTTAGCCTTAAAATTAGTCTTGAGCCGCGGTATCAAGGTCCCTATGTCAACAGTACTGGTGTGAAAGAAGACAACTCAGGGCTAAGCCTCCAGTAGGACTACGGGGCTTCTACCTGGAAGTCGTCGATAGACGGTGCAGAGCGCTGGGTGGTGCGTCGGCGGTGCCATTGGTGGAGTGTGTCCCTGGTTTCCGAGCTCAGCACTCTGGCCGCCTGCTCCTCCTGGAAGTTTCGAATCAGGGACATGGCTCCGTACGCGCTGGTCAGGTAGTAGCCACCTGGACACACACACAGAGGCACAGGGTTAACACTGTGTTCATAGAAGGGGGAAAGGAAACATTGGTTTCAACAAACTCACCTTCTCCGTGGAGCAGGGAGGGGTCCAGCAGCTCCATCATGTAAAGTATCTCGTTGTCCAGCTGGGGCATGTCGCACTGGGCCAACACATAGGTCAGCATCGGCAGGAAGTCATCAGCACCGTACAGACGACCTGAGAGGCACACGGATCATTTGATACTTTTTACACATCTTGTATTTTATTAACTCGTTATCATACTGCAGAAAATAGGTGAGACGATCAAATGTCTACCCGAGTTGTCCTCCATGATGGTGTAGATGAGCTTGCAGACCCTCAGCAGCATGGAGACCTTCTTCTCAGGCGAGTACAGTTTACTCATGGTGTGTAACTTGTGCCTGATCTTCTCTATGGCCACAGGGTCCGGCGGCGGCGTGTTGGCCACGCCCATCTCCTGTGGCTGCCGGGCCTTGGCCAGCGATAGGTTCTCCCTCAGCTCCCTCCACTCCCCACTGCGTACCTGGAACTCCTGCAGGGCGGCGCTCACCACCGGTTTGAGAGTCTTCAGGACGCACTTGTGCATGGCCTTCTCCAGGACTCGGTCTGGGGGAGAAGAGGGAACAGGTGAGCTTTTTCACAGGGACAGTACTGGGATCCATTGAAGCCAAATCGAATTGAAACTTCTGATTTTCATCTGAATACAAGAGGACAGACGTAGGCCACTGTGTGCCTCTCATGTATTTCTGCAGCACGGATGCATTTACAACAGCTCTTTTGTGCTCCTGTTTGATATGTGAACAAACTACAGGATGACTCAGATAACAGCCTCTGGGAAGAGTCCACAGATCACTCCGACTTGTGTCTGAAGACAGGCACATAGCCGCTCTGTCTAATGCCTATTTCAACACCACGGTCAAGGTTAACATCACATTCCTTATCGTCTTGTTAGTCAGGACCTACAAGCTTCCTGCTGTGTGAAACCCAAGCTGTCACTGTTGTTCACCATGGCTATAGATCAAAGTCAAAGACAGTTGAGTGTGTTGTTGTGTTGGGATTTCTTTCAATATTTCTGTTCCAATCATAACTAGAACCAGAAGAAACTGTACGTGACAAAGCTGGCGTTGGTGCATTTACTGGTGAGGCAAATGAAGTCGTCATACTGTGGCGCGAACCGTCAACTTCACAAACAAATGTGCAAATTGACTTAGCTGGCAAATAATATCTTTGAGCTGGACGGAGCTGGCACTTCAAACGACGGGCTGAATGAACAGCGCCATTCTCAAGATCATTATGTCTTCATTACTCTGAAAATATAAGGTGACTAAAGATGGAACCCATATTTTCAGTTTCATCAACCAAAGGCTGTCCACACGTTTACGAGCTCCGACTAGCACAAACAGTGCTATCATGCTGCAGACAGGAGGGAGGCCAGACCACAGCAATGCTGAATAAGGACCGAGTGTGTGCCGGCTGTCTCTGTGCATTTTGCTGACTTTCCTCCAGAAAGTGATGAAGTCAGCAGTTTTTTTTTTTTTGTTGGCTGAGCACATCTGCAGACACAGATTTTACTTTCCGCCACAGCACGACGGCATCCAGCTTCTGCCATTCACAGCGATCGGTCTCCGTCAGTCAGTAGGAGTTGTTGAATTCCACCTCCATTGCTGATCTCACTGGAAACTTTGCCACACCCACATTACTGCTACCTGCTGACTCCTACAGATGGCACATTCTCACTTCCTCATTCGACTGCACACTGGCAGAGCTGCCAGCAAGTAGCATGTGTTGTGTTTGTTTAGACACCGATGATGAAACTGATAACTTTCCTTTTCCTGGGGGAGACTCTCTTTAACTTCACCATTTCCACTTATTTTTTATGAAAAAGAAAACATGTCCAACTGGAAACACCCATCCTCTTACCATTTGATGTTCAGTTTTACTGAAACTACCTGTGGCTGGACTTCAAAACGTCAGAATGACTCTCAGAGAGAGAGAATACAACTGTTAGGAAATGGTGCACAACATGCAAAACATACAAGGAGAAGACTAAAGATTTAACTCTCAAACTCGTCCCTTTTTCAAAAGACTAATGGAAACAATCATTTAGACACAAATTCAAGACAAAAAAGCTTTTTCTTAAACGTCCCTTGTGTCACAATTTTGTATTATAGAGCTGCAACTAATGACTACTCTGACAATTATTTTCTAAAGATAATGAAAAATGTCCATCACAAGAACCCGTTGAAGTCTTCAAATGTCTGGTTTGGTCCAAATCCCAAAGAAACTTCCTATGAAAGAGAAGTGTGAGAAGCAGCAAATATTCACATGAGACCAGTAGGAACCAGACACTGGAGGGAACAGCTCCAGCAGTTACTTTATGAAGCAGAATAATTGACAATAAAAAATAATCTAGGGCCTGAATGAAGAGACTAATAATGAAGTCTTAATTGCATAAAAAGCACCTTTTTCTCTTATTCATTTCCTAATACTCGTCCTACCAGACCCCCCCACAGGTCTGCTACAGTGAGTAACAACAGGAAACAGTGGCAACATTCTTCTTCTGGGCGTTAAGTAAATGGCTCTGTGTTCATGTCATTCTAATACCAACTACACAAAGTAAAGTAGTGCATCTTACAGCTTTAATGTACTGTCACTGTGGTCATAGGTTCTCCTCAGTGAGGACCGACCCTCTTTGTCCTGAATTCACCACATTAAACCGACGGTAGAAAACACAGCGGAGCCGGTCTGCTTAAGGTCAGCCCAGAAACAGGCAATCGGACACAGACACACTTTTAACTGGACCTCTTCATGCTTGATAAAAGCATCTGTCCTCTTCTAGCCTTCAACTAAACACCTCGTCAACTTCAACACTAAAGAGGGGAATCCACACTTCTGTTTTTGTCATTGGAGTTTTCACTTTATTTCCTTCAATGTTCACCAATTATTTAAAGAAACTATTTTATTTCCTGTGTGCTCGAGCATTTCAACCAAACAGATGTTTTTGAGCAGATAGAATGGCATTGACATGTAGACACAACACTGCGTGTCCTCCTAAAGATAGCCCGGTGTAGTCTGTCTATGGGTCCTGTCCTCATGCATGGATGGCTCATTTCCTGCTTCCATTTCATTCATCTGAAGAACAGCCTCTGTGCCTCGGCTCACACAAACAAGCAGCTTGAGGGACCAGTTTTGAAAAACCAAAAGAGTGGTTTATTCTCTCGACTTCTACTGAATGGATTGGAGTGATTGGAGGAATTATGGAGGCCTCATTTAGATTCAAGCTAATATCTGAGACATTCTAACACAAACACAGCAAAGCACCAGAGCTAGACTTTCTTTCAAAACTAGCTGCTGTCACGTTCCCATAAAAGTGTGGTGCATCATTTGACTCTTGTACTGAACAAACGGCTATGAAGAATGTCAAAAAGGTATTACAGCCAAATGCAAAACTGATCCTGCAAATAAGTAAGGAGAGGAAAGTCAATATATTTATTTCACCACTCAATGCATTATTATTTCTCATGTGACTATTTTATCACAGATAATATTCAGTCAATAACATTCACTTCACTTTGACGCTTGGTAGTGAAAGCCCTCAGCTCTTATCCAGCTGCTGATGTTACCATGAGCACATGAACACATGAGCACTTAGTGACGAGGAGAGCCTCGTCACATCCTGGGCCCACATACACACAGTGGCCTGATGAGTGAGCTCCAGATGGAACATCTTGCATATATGAAACTCTGATTGTCTGCCCTTCATTTCTTTGTATCTATGTCACTTACATGTGCTTTACTCTTCATGCTATTTAAGGAAGTAATATAAAAGACCAAATAGTGTGTGAAAAAAACAGGAGTCCACATTTACATTAAATACTGCATGAAAGAACGGTCATACCAAAATACTGCACATTACTCTAAAGCAAGGACAGTGGAAGAAAGAGAGACAGAGAGAGACACAGAGAGACACAGAGAGACAGAGGCAGAGAGAGAGAGAGAGAGAGAGAGACAGAGAGAGAGAGCAAAGAGAAAACACATGAGCAAGAACAAATACAAAGAGGGTGTCAGAAGGACAGAGTAAGACAGAAAGTGGAGGGGGCTCGCCTTAGATCCTCTCTCTCTGATTGGAGAGTTGGTTTAAAAAGAAGTGAGTGAGTGAGAGTAAGACGGCGATTGTACGACTTGGCAGACAGTCACCAGAATGCATCTGGGCCTTTGGGTTGAACAGAAAACTCTCTGAAGCTGCCACAACAACATGTTGTGCAACCAATCCAAGAATTGAAAAAACGCAGCAGTTCCCATTGTGTCCTTCCTGTGGAAGAAAGAGCATTGAGAAAACAGGCGAGGAGCAACCACCACTCGGCACACAAAGACATCGAGATACTCATTTAGATTCTTTGCCTTTTGCTTCAGAATTGTAGTTGTCAACCAAAGCTAATACTTTAAAACTTTGATAATCTTGGTTTCTTCATTGTCATTTTTGGGGCACTTCATGCCATATTAGAGAGAGTACACCTGGCTACTTAAATCTCTCTCTTTTTCAAATTGAACTCAAACATGGAGAAAACAAATTCATAAAAGTGGTCAATGATTTGTGTTGACATTTTGATCGGTAGAAATGTATTTATTTAGATTTTGAATTCATTTTCCAAACAATGTTGACATGAACTAAATGCATCACTTCTTGTGCGCCAAAGGACTTTTGTCTGGAAAAGACCTCACAGCGGATGTTCAGAGCTGACCATGCTGCGTGGCCTCAGTCACACACAGCGAGGGCAAATGTTTTGTTACATCTCTTCCATGAACTTATTGGACATGTCAGACAGATTAGAAAAAGAAAGCATCAGAGATCAATATATCCTGACATCATAGTGATGTCATCAGGATTGTTTTATAGTCTCCCTCCAGAGCCACAGAGGACATTATAGAGTTTCACAGGCTAAGTAGTAATACAATCGTTGAAGTTCTCCTTAAATAAAATGTTGGTCTTTGAAAATGATCAAATAACAGATGCTGACATTGCCACCAATAACATTTTCTAAAAGCATTTAAGATTCATGTCATTATGATGAATTGATGCCAGTAGAAACAGGTTGCTTCCACAGCCCCCTTCCTACTGAGATAAAACCCTCTTTGTGCTCTCTGTTTACATGTTGCTAGTCCAAGGTCTAATGCAGCCACTGAATCTTGGCCCAAATGAATCAGAGCGTTCTTCCGGCAGGTGCGAGTGTGCATTATGTGTCCATGTGGTTGTGTCATGTTGCTGTTGTAAAATGCAATAAAGGACGGATATAATAAAGGGAAATAGCAGTGCTAAGATTGTTTCAACACCATGTTCATCTGTCCTTAATTTCTTTTTCAAATGGATCCTGACTGACCAGCATACATGACAACACACAATTAACTAAGATTAGCCCGATGGCCACGGCTTCACCCGGAATGTACGCATACGAAGAAACTCGCATGCACACATCCAGTTGCAAGCACGTGAGGACAAGTTTTCCAATGTCTTCACTGCAAAAATATTGAAACGAAACTGCTGCGTCTGCAACGCGCTCTTCTGTGACATCATGTTTCCATAGCATCTAAGATTCCTCCATGAATACATCACATCATTTACACTTCCTAAAAGTAATCACTAAAATATTAGCAAACGCATGCAGAAATGACTCCCATCACCATCCTTGTTGAGTTGAGTACGAGGTCACAATGCTTAAAAAAATGTTTTGCATTTGATTGTTGCAATCGAGCAGTCCCAGCATTTCAGCAGTTGACCAAACGGTTAAGCACACGACATACTGACAGCCACGATTACTATTGTTAAAGCATTCAGCCGAATTGTTTTCAGTTATCTGTAGTACACGAGCCACGGCTACTAAAATAACAACAGTATGGGTTAAAGATGGTGGAACTGTTTCATTTGGTACTCACCGATCTGGTCTTCAGGAATGAGGCTCTCGATTGGTGGCTCCAATTCGGAGCTCTGTCTCAGGTAGCTCTTCATCTGAGTGATAAACTGGCGGAGAGTCTGCATCAGCTCCAGTCCGGAGGCGTAGCCCTGCCAGGGCTGCGTGCCCGCACCCTCGCCCATGTAGCTCAGGTAGTCCTGCACCAGGCAGCCGAAGTACGAGCCTTTGTCCCTGGACAGCTCCACCACCCTGCGGATCGCCCTCTTCTCAGGCGTCAGCAGCGAGTTAAACACGCCGCTCATCTTACGCAGCTGCCCTCGCAGTGCCCTCTGCAGGACCAACGCGCCGGCGCTGGGGCGCCGCTTCAGGCGGTGGCCCGGCGGCACCATGGTCAGGTCCTGGTCTTGCTCCTGGTCGCTCTCGAGGCCGACACCATAGTCGTGGTCCTCTTCGTCGTCGTCATCCTCATCTTCATCGTCGTCCTCCGTGCTGCAGCAGGGCAGATGGGATGGTGGGAGCGAGAGGGGAAGGTGGGTGTTAAAGTCAGCCACCGTCGGGGGACTGGGGTCATGCAGAGCAGGAAGGAAGGAGGCTGAGGACTGGGAGAAATCCAGAGAGTCTGAGGAATCGGTAGAGAGGCTCATGTCACTTAGCCGCTGACCGCCACCGCTGCATTCCTCATCTGCTTCTTCTTCGTCTTCTCCTGTCACATCTGCCTGCTTGCTTGTTGTCATCAGCATGGGGTCTGGAGGACTACTGGATTCCTGGGCGGGGGTACTGGTGGCATTACGCTGAGACAGCTTGGCCCTCATGATAGCCCTCTCAATAGTCTGTTCCTCCAGTGCCAAATGACACTGGGCATCCTCCTGGCTGGATGATGGTGAGGCCTTCGCCTGACGGGGAGAGGAGAGGGATGACAGAGAGATGGCCAGAGAGGGCCGGGGGATGGATATAGGGGAGCTGATGTTGAGTCTCTTGGGTGGGGAGGATGAGGGGCTGATGCTTAGCGAGGAGCCCAGACGAGAAAGGAGGCTGCTGCCCCTCTCCCTCTCCTCCACCTTCTCCTTGGGGACATTGATCCAGGGGATCTTCTCTGGCATACTGCGCTGTCGGAGAGGAGCGGCTGAGCGTTGCGGCACAATGTGTGGTGGGGGTGGACGTGGAGGTGGAGACCGCCGCACACTGTCTGTAGACCTTATCTTCTGACTGGGGCTGGTTTGGCTGTTATCGTCCTGTAGCTCTGGGTTTCTGTCAAATCGCTGAAGTTCGTTTTGACCTGACTGGCTGCTGTCACTTTGATCTGAGATACAAACCTGAGGACTGTCTCCACAAGCGTGTTGAGTTTCCTTGTCGTCGGTTTCCAGGCCGTCGCTAACGGGTTCCTCCCTCAGGCCTTTCTTTGCTGTACCAGAGGGATTTGAGGTGGTGCTGTGGTCGCCATCTGGTTGGTGAACCTTTATGAAGAGGGGGTTGATGAAGCAAAGTGCTCCGTTGGACTGGCAACACTCGAGCTCTGATGGGGTGCGAGTTCGAAGCCGGGGACGCCCTGGAGAGATGGCCAAGGAGACAGGGGGAGGTGGTCTCTTGGGAGCAGCTATTCCTGAAAAGGAGACTGAGTCCTTCCTTCTGTGGCACGCCTGAGCATCCCAGAAACCTGAGTGAGACAGAGAGAGAAATCTCAATAATGTGGACAATAATATTACAACATGTTAGTGTCTGGGCCCCGTTCCATTCCTGGGGGTTAATATAGTAGTATGTGGTTTGAAGCAAACATTAGCTTGGCCAAACTTGGACTTCAGATTCTGTAGCTACAGATTCCGTAGCTACAGATTCTGTAGCTTTTTCAGACAAAATAATTAAAAGATTACTCCAATGTTGGACTCACGATGTATCAAAATTGATGCAGAAGAACCAGATGTAGCGTCTTTGTTCTTCCATGCATTGTTCTTCCTTGTCAATGCCCGGTGAATAAATTACCCGCAGTCGACTGCCGACAGTTCGGTTAGAGATTTCGGTGTAGTTTGCTAGTAGCAGCTAATGTAGCATGGCGCCTCTTGACTACCGTAGAGACCTCCAAATTCTTTAATTTTCATACTTATAGTCTTCAGGCCCAACGACACTGACTCAAGTGATCACTGGAGGACACATGTAAGACTTCACACAGACTATTAGGATGTAGTTGTACTCCCCAATACCTGCAAACAGACTTTAATGTGTAAAATTGGTGGAGTTCCCCCTTTAGCAAACAAAAATGTTAGGTGTTTTCAGTCAATAATGGGGCTTTTTTTGAAAGCATGAATTTCCGTCACTATTGAGGGCCAACAATTGGAGATGTAACAGTACATTCATTGTAAAGTGAGTACACACCACACTTTGGTTTGGTAAGCCCTGTGAACATTATAATTATAGTCAAATGCAGTCAATTTACAGTATGTTAGTAGGGCACACAAGAACATCTATTAATGCTTTGACACAAGCGCTAATGGTGCGTTCACCATTACGTTCACCATTGCGTTACATACAAAGTCTATGCACAGACGCGATGAGACGTCGGGCGAAGTCGCACAAATTTGCGTCAAACGCCCCAAATTTTCCAACTTCTGCAAAAAAATGGCGTGGCGCTGTGGCGCGATAGCCTATCAGCGTTGAGATGTTTCTCCTGTCATCACTGACTTCCTGCCGTTGTTGAATCAGGAAATAAATACTGTAGCCGTCTGTGTTCACCCAGAGCTCTACGATACCTCATATCAATAGAGACCGGACCAAACTATGTGTAGAAATGTGTGCGTGTGTGTAAACCTTGCGGAGAGAACTAACTAAACATGAATTCAGACTTTTTACAAATCGGCATCATTACGTAGTTATTTCGGAGTCCCTTGTTGTCTGTTTATTGCCGTTAAATCACAGCCAAATCTGTTTATTTTGGGTTCATACAGCTGTAGTAAACAGTCGACGTGTGGCTAGACAGAGCACAGAGCAGCAGCGACAGAGCAGCACATCACCAGCCTGTAGTGTGATAACCCGGAAGCAGGAACTTCCAACATGGCCATTCTGTGTGGAGATTGCAAACTCGCATACTCACAGTTAAGGGACGATTTTCCCCGCCTAGAGTCTGAAGTCCGGAAAAGGGAACAGCTGATCGACGGATTCGTATCCGTGGCGGCGGCCCAGGCAAAGCATATCTCATCTATGCAATCTCAACTGGTCTCGGACACTGCGGACACTGTTCCCTGGCTACCCGGCCCTGCGGAAGGGGAGGAGAGTCGGTCCTCTGACCACGAGCTGAGAGGACCTGCTATAGACCCGACCCATAGCTCATTTTTTGAGGATTTTCAGTCAGGATTTAGAAAGCATCATAGCACAGAGACAGCTCTGGTAAAAATAACTAATGACCTTCTAATTGCATCAGACAAAGGACTAGTCTCTGTTCTTGTCCTGTTAGACCTTAGTGCTGCATTCGACACTATAGACCATTACATCCTGTTGCAGAGACTAGAACATTATATTGGCATCAAGGGAACCGCACTGAATTGGTTTGGATCCTATTTATCAGATCGATCTCAGTTTGTTTATGTAAACGATGAAGCCTCGATGAAGACCAACGTCAATTATGGAGTTCCACAAGGTTCTGTGCTTGGACCAATCTTGTTCACCTTATATATGCTTCCTTTAGGCAATATTATCAGAAAGCACTCTATAAACTTTCATTGTTATGCAGATGATACTCAATTATATATATTGATCAAACCAGATGAAACCAACCACTAAACTGCAAGCATGTCTTAAGGACATAAAAACCTGGATGACCTGCAGCTTCCTGATGTTAAAATCAGACAAAACTGAAGTTATTCTACTGGGCCCAGAGCACCTCCAAAATCGGTTGTCTGGTGATGTGGTTTCTCTGGATGGCATTGCGCTGGCATCCAGCAGCACTGTAAAGAATCTTGGAGTTACCTTTGATCAGGATTTGTCTTTTAACTCTCAGATAAAACTAATTTCTAGGACTGCCTTTTTTCACCTACGTAATATTTCAAAGATCAGGCACATCCTGTCTCAAGGTGATGCAGAGAAATTAGTTCATGCATTTGTTACCTCTAGACTAGATTACTGCAATTCCTTATTTTCAGGCTGCTCTAATAAGTCTCTGAAATTTCTCCAGTTGATTCAGAATGCTGCAGCTCGTGTACTAACAAGAACTAAGAAAAGAGATCATATTACTCCTGTATTAGCTCCCCGTAAAATCTAGAATAGAATTTAAAATCCTTTTACTTACCTACAAATCCCGAATTGGTCAGGCACCATCATATCTTAAAGAGCTTATAGTACCATACTGCCCTACTAGAGAGCTGCGCTCCATTAATTCAGGGTTACTTGTGGTTCCTAGAGTCTTAAAAAGTAGGATGGGAGCCAGAGCCTTCAGTTATCAAGCACCTCTTTTGTGGAACCAGCTTCCCGTTTTAGTCCGGGGGGCAGACACACTCACCACATTTAAGAGTAGGCTTAAGACTTTCCTTTTTGATAGTGCTTATAGTTAGGGCTGGCTCAGGTTTGCCTTGGACCGGCCCTTAGACAAACTGGTATAGGCAAAAACTACAGGGGGACTTCCTTAGGATACACTGAGCACCTCTCTCCTCCTCTTCTTCACCTCTGTCTGTATGCATTGATGTCCCATTAATGCTCATTACTAACTTTACTTCTTCCCCGGAGTATTTGTGCTTTCTCGCCTCACAGGTTCCCATGACCCCAGTTTTATCTGGACGCTGGTCCTTCCACCAGCCATGGCCCTGCTGACATCTACTACGATCTTCATTATTAACATTATTAATCCTATTACCGATACCATTAATGCACAGTACTGACTTTGTCTCTTCCCCGGAGTCCTTGTGCTTTCTCTCCTCACAGGTTTCCATGGAGCATGGTTTCATCTGGACCCTGGTCCATCCCTCCTACCATGGCCCTGCTGACTCCAACTGCTAATATTACCTTTATTATTACTCACATTGCTAATTCATATTACCGATACCATTAATGCACATTATTGACCTGCTTCTTCACCAGTGTCTCTGTGCTTTCTCGCCTCACAGGTTCCTGTGTATCCGGGTTATACCTGGACCAGGTCTTGCCTCCTGCCGTGGTTCTGTTATACATTGAATGTGCTGTAATTACATTGAATGTGCTGTAATTCACTTATCCTGTTCCACACATGACATCTATTGCACTTCTGTCCATCCTGGGAGAGGGATCCCTCTTCTATTGCTCTCCCACAGGTCTCTTCCTCTTTTCTCCCCGTTAAAGGGGTTTTTTGGGGGAGTATTTCCTGTTCCGATGTGAGGGTCCCGGGACAAGAGGATGTCAAATGTGTACATATTGTAAAGCCCTCTGAGGCAAATTTGTAATTTGTGATTTTGGGCTATACAAAAATGAATTGAATTGAATTGAATTGAATTGAATAGACACAGTGAATACAGCTTGATAAAATCCACGGAGCTCCTCTGGACAATGTTATGAACCCAGTCATGACGGCGTTTAGTTTCCCGTGATATCTGGGACAACACGTACTAAGCAGAAATAGGTTATTTTTTCCATGGTTAATGGCGGATAGTTGAACGGCTTCCGGCGCATCCAGCGCGATTCACGTGAATGAACACAAATAGACCCCGGCGAGACTGGCGGCGCGAATGACGCGATTAATGCGGCACGAATGGTGTGAACACGGCATTACCCTAACCCAGGGGTCGGCAACCTGCGGCTCGCGAGCCGCATGCGGCTCTTCAGCCCCTCTGTTGCGGCTCCCTGAGTCTACATCAGGGGTCCCCAACTGGCGGACCGGATCCGGACCCAAGACCTAAATCCGATAGATAATTCTGAATTATACATATTAGGCACTGAGTTTATACTTTAACCGGCGCTTCTTATTCAGCCGTTACGGCACTTGTTCGGCGGTGCAGGAAACACACCGACCAATGCATTGCAAATCACATCACCTGATGCAGCTCAGCCAATCAAATATGAGTATTCTGACAAGTTTCCTGACTCCAGCGAGGTTTACACACACGTGACTCACGTGACTGAGACGAGGAAATAGAAAGAAGAGCAGGAACATTGCGCTAATCGAAGAAGTTATCTCGCATGACGTTCTCCAAAAAGAGAAACATGTTCAGAGAGAATATAATTTATAAGCAAGAATGAACAGAATCTTATGTTAATTATTCCCACAGGCAGTTAAATCCTCTACACCTGTCAAGCGCTCTTCCCTGCAGGTGGCTAATCATGATTTTCAGACCCCCGCCCTCTGTAAACTATCAATGGATAAATCCAAAAAAAGAAAAGTCACGGAGGAAAATAGAGTTTAACTCTGCGTTGATGTCTTCATTTGCTTTCACTGCCAACGATGCTGACTTACCTGTATGCTTCCAGAACAAGCACACAGCATTTGCCTAAAAGTGTCACGCTGGAGATGAGCGAAAAAGAGCGATTTCTCAGCTGCTGCAGCAAACTGAGCTCTTTGATATTGTTATAACAGGTAAAATTGCAATAAAATGTCAAGAATTGTCTTTATTCTTGTTCTATATTTTCATAAATACAACAAACTATAGTTTTTGTATATATAATATAACCAGTGGCGGGCCGTGCATTTTATACCTGGGCCTTCAC